GAGAGAGAGAGAGAGAGAGAGAGAGAGAGAGAGAGAGAGAGAGAGAGAGAGAGATAAAGATATTTTTAGCCACAAAATCCTCAAGAACGTTTCTAGAGGCATCCCAGATGTCCTTCACAATGTTTTAACTTGTTACCTTTCTTACTTCAGGTACAAAATGCAACATTCGTTGCCTTGAAGAAGTTAATACTTTTGAAGAACGACATAAAACCTGGGGAATTGACTACATTTTTGAAAAATTGTATCTCCTTACAGAAAAGTAAAAAACAGCTGGTGATGATGGCGCAGGCCTTTAATCCCAGCACTCGGGAGGCAGGGGCAGGCGGATCTCTGTGAGTTCAAGGCCAGCCTGGGCTACAGAGTGAGTTTTCAGGAAACTCTGTCTTGGAAAAACAAAACAAAACAAAAGCAGTCAATCCCTGCATGAATTTTTGAAAAATTAAAAATTATGTTAAGGCTTGAAAATATAAGCACTTGGATTTTTTTCTTATTCAAAATACAGATCTTTGTGCATGACTTTTTAAATGAAATCACACACTAAAATGTTTTAAGTCAATCCTTTGAAGAATGTATAATTGGTAGCAAAATATTAAATACAATGTGTCTTTTTAATAGTCAGCATGTATTTCTTCTATAACTAAAAACAAAAATACAGTGTTTATTACTTTAAACAATAAATAAAAATATACATGAAAATTACAATCACTGAGGAAATGTAAGATTTTAACAGGATTTGGGATAGTCTAAATTATTTTATTAAAAATTAACTTCACCATAAATCCTAATCTGCTTAGATCTTGGGACCTCATCTTCACATGTTTCTCCCCTTGTATAATTTTATACTTAACAGAATCAAGAAATTAAAAAAATTTTTTAACCTATATTGGAAAAGTTTTTTCCCCAAACTGTAAGAATAAAACCTCTAAAAACCACTTTTTCTGAGTTTGGCAACTTTTGTTTCTTTTAATTTATTCTTACTTATATGAGTGGGTGGCTTGAGGCTGTTCATTGTGGAAACTCAGGTTCAGAATTTGTCAGTTTTTACTAATGATCACATTTTGTTAAATCAGATGTCAGTCTTCATCTCCATACCTCCCAACGTCTAAGTGGTTTATATTTTTAACTCATGTTAATACAGTAAGGTGTGTTTCTAAAGATAGGTTACTATATATATACTGTAGATACACACACACACACACACACACACACACACACACACACATATATATAATGAGAATATTTGTGCTTGCACTAAGGTAATGGTTGTTACTGGAAATACCATTAATATTGATGAAAGTCATGTATACTCTTTATAGAGATTATCTTTTAAAAATTAAACTTGGGACTGGAGAGAAGGCTTAGTGGTTAAGAGCACTTACTGTTCTTCCAGAGGATGGGGTTTGGTTCCCAGCATTCATATGGTGGTTCACTAATGTCTACTACTATCTCCAGGAGATACAACACTGTCTTCTGGCAATGGTGGGCATCAGGCATGCACGTAGTGCAATATATACATGTAGTCAAAATACTCAACACATAAAAATATAGATTTTAAATACTAACCTTTGTGTAAACCTCATTAATGCTCAGTGTTGATCTCACATCCTCCAACAGCATTGAGGATGCTGTCCTTGGATATCTTCTGCCATTGACCTATTCAAATATCCTGATCAGAGTTGCTTCTCTGAAACCTGCCTCAGTCTACAGAGTGATCTTTGTAGCCAGTTGAACGAACAATGTTGGACCATTGAGCTGGGCCAATCCAATTCTCTTTAGAGATTTTTTTTTTAAGCTCAGAGCTGGAAAGACAAGTTAGGTGCTCAGAGGGCAAAACTAAAGGGTAGAGCCAGGATCTCTCTAGTTGCCACGGCCCACCCCAGAGCTGAGAAGTGGAGACACAAACAGTAGAGAGGCCACGGGTGTTCCAGTCTCCCACTTTACCCTTCCAGAAGCCCCGCTGCCCAGCCTAAGGAAGAACGTCTCGTGTTGTATGATAGACTCCTGTGCTCATGCAGGAGCTAGAGTTTGTTTCCATAACTCAAACCCACAGTCCTAAATGACACAAATGAGATGCTTTATGTGGTCAATCTTTTATGTAAAATATGTCCTCACTGGGGGCGTTCTGAATTTAAAAGCCCTGAGATCGACGCTCCATATACACTATGTTACAGGGGTTGAATTATTCTTGGGGGTTTTCCAAAAATGCCTTTTATCTAATTTTGCAGTTTAAACAATAGACTGGCTGAGTCTCTGTGCCCTGCCTGGTGGTTTGTGAACTGCCCACTCTGCACGCATGAAAACACAAACAGAGACTTCACAGGTACACATGGGAGGAGACAAGAAAAGTGTGTCCTGGTCAGTCTGTGTGGTTGAATGAGGAAAGAACACACAAAGGAATATAACCAAAGCTTCCACTGGCTGCCTGGTGACTAGTTCTGGAAAGGATTCGTGGTCAGGACCACAGAAGGTGGCCTGGAAAACATTTGTTCATGAGAGCTCCCAAATGCTGGGGAACTCATGGTTGAATGGAAACGCGGCCCACAGAGACATTAGCTTGCCCATTCACTGCAATAGTACAGTCTTGGTTGTTGTTTTATTTCCTAAAGGAAGTGATTTCCAGTGTGTGTTTACGCATGCGTGTTACGGTTTGGATGTAAACTGTCCCTCACAGTCTGAGCACTTGGTCTCCAGCTGGTGGCACTGTTTTAGGAGGCTCTGGAACCTTTAAGAGGTGGGGCTAGTTGAAAGAAGTAGGTCACTAGGGGCAGGTTTTGATGGTTTATAGCCAGGCCTGGTTCTGGCCCAAGTTCTCTGTTTCTTTTTTGTGCCAGTGAACAGTCTGACGCAGGACATTCCAGCTGCCGCCATCCAAGCCCTTGACCATGTCTTCCCCACCATACTGGACTGTAGTCGCTCAAACCACGACCCAAGCAGACCCTCCCTTTCTTCCTTAAGTTGTTTGTGCCTAGTACTTGGTCACAGCAATAAGAAAAGTAACTAGGGCATGTATGTTTGTTTATGTGTGTATGTGTGTGTAACAAGAACTTTCAAAGAAAGACTTCTGAGGGCTTTTATGAAACTTGTCTTTAACTCATGGCTCTGGGTTTCTACCATGTGTCATCTAATGTGTTTTATTTCTTGCAAACAGATTGCAAATCCACCAGAGTGGCTGAGTTAATAATGGGGATGGGAGAGGATTCCTATGTGAGCCTTAAGCATAATCACTCTGTTTTTAGTAAACAGTCCACATTTCCCAACTTTGTCTAGTTTTAATGTATAAAATTTAAAAATCTGCCTGAAAATCTGCCGAGTGGTGAAGAACAGTGGGGAGGATAACCACAGGAAGCAGCATTTTAAATAGGAGGTGAGCATTTATTTATACGTCAATGCTAAGAAGAGCATGCTGGGAGCTGGAACAGTGGTTCGGTGGTTAAGAACATGTACTGCTCTTCCAGAGGACCTGAGTTCCGTTTTTAGTACCGATGTTGGGCAGCATACAACAGGTCCAGAGGATCTGATGCCCCCTTCGGTCTTATGTGAACACTCTCACGTAAGTGGCACACACACACACACTACACATCACATAAATAAAAACTTAAAAATAAATCTTTAAAAAGGAATAATACGCCAGGTTTGGGATACAGCTCAGCGGTAGAGTGTTTAGTATATGTGAGGTCCTGGGTTCAACTTCTAGAACTACAAAATAATCACAGTATCTGGAACATCTGGGGAGGACTACCAAAGAAAAACAAGTAACTGAATGTACTTTCACTAGAGACAATTACTGCTGAGAGAGTGATGTTTTCATCTTTTTTTTTTTTTTGGTCTGCCTTTACATATGTGTGATTTTTACAAACTTAGGCTTATACTACAGGTTCCATAGCACATTTCTAATACCTTCCTCTCAGTTCTTTGGCCCTTTCCAGAATGACTGAATATCTCTCAAAAGCAAAACTTTTTTTTTTTTTTTTTTTTAAATTCTGATTGGTTGGTGCTGGTACATTGATCTACCAACCCAAGGTCTTTATTTTTCTTTATTTAAGACTAGGTATCACTATGTGGCCTTGACTGGCCTGGAACTCACAGAGATTGCCTTTGTTTCCAAAGCACTGGATTAAGGTGTAACCCACCACATCAAAAGTCTTTAAATCCCTGTACATTTCCTCCTGTCCTGGTGATGGCTTTCACTCAGCAAATGGAAGTACGTGCCTGTTGGGTCTGTGCTGGGCATAATACAGTGTTAAGCAAAATCAGAGGTGGAACTTAGTGTGTTTCTTAAAAAAAAAAAAAAAAGAGGATGAAGACAAAGTATAAGTTTTAATAGATAAAGTGGTCAATTAGATTTTGTATTTTTGATTATATAGAAAACGGACCATGGCTGTCTGTTGTTGGTTGTTTGTCTCTTTGTCTCTTTGGGGGCCCGCTCCCAAATAAATCACACAAGGAGGCTTATTCTTTTTTTTTAAAAAAAAGATTTATTTATTTATTTATTATGTATACAGTGTTCTGTCTGCACATATCCCTGCAAGCCAGAAGAGGACACCAGATCTCATTACAGATGGTTGTGAGCCACCATGTGGTTGCTGGGAATTGAACTCAGGACCCCTGGAAGAACAAGCAGTGCTCTTAACCTCTGAGCCATCTCTACAGCCCAAGGAGGCTTATTCTTATTATGAATACCCAGCCTTAGCTTGGCTTGTTTCTTGCCAGCTTTTCTTAACTTTAAATTATCCTGTCTATCTTTTGCCTCTGGGCTTTTACCTTTTTCTATTTCTGTATACGTTTCTTTCCTTCTTCCTCCATGGCTGGTTGTGTAGCTGAGTGGCTGTCCCCTGATGTCCCCCTTCTCTGACTATCTTTCATTTTTTCTCCCAGATTTCTCCTTCTATTTATTCTCTCTGCCTGCCAGCCCCACCTATCCCTTTTCCTGCCTTGCTATTGGCCATTCAGTTCTTTATTAGACCATCAGGTGTTTTACACAGGCACAGTAACACAGCTTCACAGAGTTAAACAAATGCAACATAAACAAAAGTAACACATCTTTAAACAATATTCCCCAACATCCTCCCCCCCTTTTTTTTTTTTTACAAAAATGAAATGTTTTAACTTTAACATAGTAAGACTGTATACAATAAGAACAATTATCAAGTAAAGATGACATTCACAATGTTCTGAATTCCAATTCACTTGTGTCTGGTAAATTTAAAGAAAATACTCCATAATCTTAGTAAATCCAAAATTTTATACATAATTTACTTTCTATCATATCTAAGGAAAACAGCAATTGTAATTATCTAGTGTTCAACTCCATTAAAGGGCCTAGAAGGGTATAATATTATTTAAGTAAATAA